TATATTATATTCATGTTTATTGTAGAGCATGCTGTTGAGTATTATGTTGGTGAGTCCTATTTTATGTTTGAATGTTGTTGCCAATTTGCTCATTAGCTAATTGCAAGTTTGTCTAGTTAAAACTATGTCATTGCATAGATATTCTATACTAGGCATTAGTATATAATTGATTATGTATTGCACTTGTTTGTTAGTAATCTTTTTTCATTCCAATTAATATATGTGTACTGGTGACCTTCTATTTTATTTAGTGTTTCTAATAGTCTTTGTATCCTGAGCTGTCATACCAGATTCCTAGGATTCTAACTGGTGTATTGGAAGAGCATCTTTGTATTTTTCTGGTTATTCATTATTACTCCTCTTTCCAGGTCTTCCTCTGTGCTATTGATAATAATCAGTTGTGACTTATCAAGATTGATTTTGATGTTATTAATGTAATAGAATTCTTTTGCTGTATGGATGATTCTTTGCAAGTTTATTCTATTGTCTATTGTCTATGTTGTGTTATCCATGTACTATATGTGTTGACTGCTATATTGGTGGTCCTTTTCTTCTATTCTGTTTTGAATTCTGTACATGCTTTGGAGCTTATTGTGTTGCCTTTATATTGTTGATTATCATGCTAGTAGTGGGTCATAGAAGATGTGCCACATTAATGGAGATATTGTATCTCCTTGATCTATTCTATCTCTTACTTAATATTTATCTGTTAAACTATAGCATATTATAACTGCATTTTGATGTTCTTGGAATATGCTGAGCAGAATTGTGACTATTGTGTCTGATACCTAGATCCTTTGAAGGGCCAACTGTAGCATCTCTAAATTGACAGAGTTATATGCTTTTGACATATCTTGACTCAAGATCTAGGCTTGTTGTTTAGTTTTTTTTGCATATTCGATAATGCTGCTAATTATGTAAATAGGGTCTTAGGTAATACTATCTGGGAGTGCAGCCCAATTAAATTCAGATAGTATTCCTGCATAAGTCAGACATTTGGCTAGTCTGTCTATAATAATTTTAGTGAATATTTTTCTTTTTGCATCAAGTAGTGTAATAGATCTAGTGATGTCTAGGTTGTGCACCCAGTCCTTAAGCTTAGGTATAGGATATATATGTCCCCTGCTCTATTCTCTAGGTGTGTTACCTTGTTGGATAATCATGTTGAAGATTGCTCTAAGTTCTTATCTTGCTTTGTTCTTTAAATATTTGTATGCTAAGTATAGTATCTGATTGGGATCTGGGGCTGACTTTGAGCTATATTGTCTGATTACTTGTACGAGTTCTTCTATTGTGATCTCTTCTAGCATTCCCCTGTCACCTAGGATATCATTCTAAATTTTGAGTATTTCTGTATGGTGTCCAATTGTAGAAGTGTTCCTTTACTTTAGTTTTGATTTCTACTGGTTCTGTGACTATCTGCACGTCTTCTCCTTATTGGATAATAAGTTTGTCTAGTTGTATTTGCCTTCTAGTTCTTTCCAGAATACTATTGATTATGGCACACTTGCTGTTGTCTTGCTACACTTGTCTTATCTGGATTCTTTTCCTTATTGTGATAAGCTGTCTTCTATGGGAGATGGTCTTTGCAACTGTTTTGTGTACCTTTATATTGCCTTGGATTACTTTAACCCATTCTTCTAGATATGTATTGGGATGTTCAGCTTCTAATTTTTCAAGTGTGGGCACCAAGTCTGAAACTGATTTTTGTATACTCACTAGGATCTAAAGCAGCTGATGTATTTTTTCTTCTTCTCTATCTTTTAGTTATTGCCTTATTTGTGTGAAAAAATTCTGTAGCTATATTATAAGTAGTGTTTCTTTTATGTCTTTGACTTGGTATCTTTTCCTTCGATATTATTTCTTTTTTGAAATGTATTTTTTGGCTGTTTTCTGAATAGTGTTGTGAATTGATTCCATCAATGATCCAGAAGTTAATTACTTGTGCATTCTATTTGTATATTGTATTCGATATATTCACTGAACTTTTCTTACTGCTGGGTTATGGCAAGTTGCCAGTTGTATTTATAGTTGTGTTTATAATAGGTTGTTTGTTTTGGAGTATCAAGGTTCCATACTTCTATTTCTACTATTATTGTGACATGTTCACTTATAATTGCTAGTGTAGTAAGATCTTGGATGATGGCCATTTTTGATTGCCATATTGCCTACAGGCTTATCCAAATTTGATCGATTCTACTACTGCTTCCTAATCTACTCCAGGTATATTCTCTCTTTGTGAAGTTATGTATTCTATATATGTCTTCCAAGTTATTGTCCAAGAGGATTTGTATTTGTTTTTCTGAGAGCTGTGTTTTTTGGTTATCGTTGTGCTACTGTGTTTGTCAATTGCTAGGTTGGGAACTCCATTCATATCCCCTGCTACCAGAAGATACCATCTTTTTTTGTTGCTTTTTTGATCCATTTGCTTAGGGTGTTGAGTACCCTTTGCTTTTCTCCTTCCATGTCTTGTATGGGGAAGTAGACTTCAATTATTCTCATTTTTTCTTTATGTTAAAGGCCAGGTCAGCTGCAATAAGTCTATCTGCGAGTGTTTTGTAATTATAGATTCTATATACAATGTCTTTGTTGATTATTATATTTAGACCTTGTCTACTGATTTGTGCTTCTTTGTGGATCCATATAGTTTGGAATTTCTTGTATTGCCAATGTTTTGGTTGTTGATGTGACCCGTTTGTCACTGTAATAATTATGATATCACAGTTTGCTATGTTGCAGAAATTGAACCATGTCTCACATTTGTGTGTCTCTACTAGGCCTTGAATATTGAATATTGTGACTTTCCATATTGGTTTGTATTCTCTATGTATTGTTTTATATATTGTTATGCCAGTTGTTGTATTGTTTGTATTTGGATTCTGGTTTGAATTTATTATTAGTTGATCTGTTTCTTCCATTTGTTGTTTGGGTGTATTGTAAGGGAGTTGCTTAGTTCTTCTGTATATATAGTACTCTGATTGTTACCCATTATTGTCTGTGTAAGGAGGATGGTGTACTACCTGAGATAGAGTTTAGTATGGTGTTGTATATCTGATCCATATGTTTGTCTAATTTTTGTATGGATTACTGAATATATTGTTTTTGTATATTGTAACAGGCTAATCGGTGAGTCTGTCACTAATGACCAAAGCTCGTATAACCTGCAGATAGAAGAGTTTGTCCTTCTATTACATATACATAAAACAATACCAAAATTAAGGCAGAGGTGTAAAAAGATTTGGGCGAGTCTCAAGGTAGTTTTCCCTAAAACTACTTATAATCTTTACTGTTATAATGATCTATCCAAAAGATTCATCTTAAGATTTTTCGTGAGAGTCATCATTTTATTAAGTCATTGAAAGAAGTTACATTTATATTTTTATACATAGGGCTATTATAAAATCACTATGGTTATTCTAATATTATGTCATGCATAAATTGTCTCTTGATCAGCCAATTTTCTATTACCTCGGCTCATAGTTTTTTATCTTTTCGACGTGAATGGATTGTTCATGCATTCTTCTAGCTTGTAAGGGATATGATGATAGTCGGCAATTGATTGTTTCACGTAAGCTTCAGTCACATCATGATTGTCAGTTATGTGACCATGGCGAAAATTCTGAACTTTGTTTGACTTCTTTGGTCTTTAACAATATATATCTTGGGTGCTATTTTGTAGTGCTGTGTCTGTTACTGAACTTTCTTCTGTATTGAGGGGGAAGGTGTTTTCATCCATTTGTTTCATGTAGTCTTCATTGTATATCTCTAAGTTAACTATATATTCCTTTAGATCAGATATGTCTTCTTTTATCTCTTGAATTTCTTGTCTTATTGTCTTGAGAATATGAAGTACTTCTGTCATGGTTGTTTGAGGGGGATGAGCATGTGTCTCCACTTTTTTGTGTAGCCTTGCTGCTGCTGTGTAGGAGCCTGGCCTAACCTTTCTCTGGTTGTTATGCGTGGTTGCCCTTCTCCTTATACTTTTAATATGTGTTGGCCTAAATCTGTTGGCTTGTTCAGTATTGTACTGGTTCCATTGTGTTTTTTTTTTTTTGATTGGATATTGAGCAACTAAATATGTTGCACTTCCATATATAGTGTAAAGTTTTGTGTTGGTTGATTTCCATTCTGCTTGAGTTTCTCTAAGGAGAACATTTTGTGTTGTTGCTGCTTTCAGATCCTCCTGGTTCATAAAACCAATGATTGCAAACACTTGCATCTGTATGACATATACCTTGAAATGTAGCATGTCTTGACTCCAGTTTGTTCACATGTTAGTCTGAGGTTAAAGGCGATGGTATTGGGTAGAGGTTTATTAACTTGACTGCAATATTTCTACATGTCTTCATTTGGTCCATGTTCCATTGTGTTTCAAAAATTCTGGCTGAGTCTGATCATAGCAAAATACTCCATTTGGCAACTAGATCTTCCTTGACTTGTTTGTCTACATAGATGATGACTGCTGATTGCCACATTTGTTATGTAGATATATCGATGTTTGTGATCTCTTCAAATTTGGCAAAGGTCTGTTATATCTCTATGAATTTTGTATCCAGGAGGGTATCCTATACCCTGATACTGTTTTTCTTATTTGGTCTAGGAGATGTGAAAGCCATGTATTCAAGATGAGTCCCATTCGTTTCAAGTAAGATAGTGTTGTATGCTTCTTCTGCAGTATGGTGATCACTGAAAATAGCAATGATGTGTTCTTTTTCTTCTTTTTCTTTGCTGCAGATAGAGAGAAGGCTGGTGAGTGTGTTCAAGCTTTTTGCAATATGTGCTGTCTTTTGTTGGTAGTTCTCCCTAGGACTTCTGATGCTTTGATGCCTATTTTGACTCGTTTCTTGCCAAATCTTGTCATTGAATCAATAGATGTTCTTGATCTGGGTTTACCTGCTCTGTTGATTGGTACATTTCTATGGGAGACTTCCTGCCATTGCCCACTGGATTCAGATCTTGTCCAGCTGCTAATGTCTGGTTCCTCTATTTTTACATCTGAATTATCTATTCTTGCTACTGTGAATATAATAGGAGAGTCCCTATTTTGTTCATTTTATTGAACATTTCTACCTTTAGTGTTTATATTAGTTTGTATGTCTTGTGTATCATTTCTTCCACTTCATCACTCCAAGTTGGTTGTTTTTGATTGATTTTCTTTTTTCTAATGGTTTCTGTGCCTGAGAGTGCAGGCTAGCTTGTGTTCTGGTTTCTTGGATATTCATTTTTGGCATTTTCTAGAGAAGTTTCTCTTTCTTTTCCTTTGTTTTTTGGGTTAGACTTTGTTGTCTCTGTATGGGTTTTTTTGTATAGCAGTCTTGTGTTACCTTTTGCCAGGATGTTCTCATTGTTGTTGGGTCTGCCCTGAGTATATGGGCTTCTGCAGTCTCTAGGAGAACTCATCTTTCCATTCATTTTTCTTCTTGTTTCACAAAATTGCCTAAAAAGAAAATTAAAAAAAAAAAAGGATCTGCAGGAAAGAGTTTTTTTTTGCTAATGGTTTCTAATATTCTGTTGACTTTAATATAATTGCTAATAGTTTTGATAATAGTTTTGCTAATTCCTCCTAGAACAATTTTGTTCCAAGTATTGCTATATGCTATAATTGATATAAGTTCATATTAAATGTTTTATTCAATATTGTTTTCCAGTCTTGTGATTATTTCTTAATAAATGATATTAAGAAAAACTACTTTGATATCAATTTTATGGAAGAAGCATTTGAAAGGATGCATATTGTTTTTCACCTAGGAGCAGGTGAATCAAATGTTGGACTTATATAGATCTGGCTTTCTAATGAGTAGTTTGTTAATTGTATGGAGTTCTCTATTCATAATTTGATTGCAAAACCTTTTGTAAGTGGTCCCAAGTATCTATTTTTTTACTTATGATGTTGGAGAGTCAAAGTTTACAGGTAAATTCTTTCTAGTCTATATTTATTGCCTCTGTTTCATTAGTTGATTCTTTTTATTGAGTCTAATATATTTGTAGATTAGTTGAATTTATCTTAGGCTCTTTGGAACCTTTTTAATGGTTATAATAATTTCTATTTGGTTTTTATAATAGAAGATAAAAATATTTATACTAAATATAGTCTTGATAAGGTGTCTTTGAGATATTATACTGTTCTTGTTGTAATTTTTGAAGAGTCTATTTGCTTTAGTGAAGGAATGATTATCTGACTGGTTTTATTTTTCAATTTTTATCTATAAAATGAAAATTCAATAATGTCAGTTCTTTAATTTTCTTTGTTATATTCTCTATATAGAAGTTATATTCACCTATTAAGGAGAAAAAGTCTGTTTCTATCATGATAAAATTTCTAGGTTTACTAATTATAATTGCTATTATTGTAACTATTATTTCCACTCAATATGTCAATACTTGACCATGGAATTATAGACTTTTTTTAGCTATTCTATTAAGATTGTGAGTAATATTTATACCTATTGTAGCAGGCTAATCGACGAGTCTGTCACTAATGATCAAAAGCTTGCATAACCTGTAGATAGAAGAGTCTGTTTTTCTATCATACACACAAAAATCAAGGCAGAGATATAAAAATATTTGAGCGAGTCTCAAGGTAGTTTTCCCTAAAACTACTTATAACAATCTATCCAAAAGATTTGTCGTTTTATTAAGTCATTGAAAGAAGTTACATTTATACATTTTTACATATAGACTATTATATAATCACTATGACTATTCTAGTATTATGTCATACATAAATTGCTTCTTAGTCAGCTAATTTTCTATTACTTCAGCTCATAGTTTTTACCTTTTTAACACGAATGGATTGTTCATGTATTCTTCTAGCTTGCAAAAAGTATGGTAATAGTCAGCAATTGATTGTTTCGCATAAGCTTCGGTCACATTATGATTGTCAGTCACGTGACTATAGCAAAAATTTTGAACTTTGTTTGACTTCTTTGGCCTTTAAAACTATATTGCATATATTTAGATTTTTGGTTGAATTAAAGGCTCCATCTATATAGATATGAAAATTGTTAAGTTCTTTGGCATAATTGTAGATATCAGTAAAATCTTGTTTGATAGTAATGGGAATATTAATTACTTTAAAAAGGGTTCATAGAGTATATGAAGTATTGTCAATTTTTATATTTTCAAAGATTTGGTTGGATTCTATAAAGAAATATGTGATACTGCAAATAAATTTTTGGTGAGATATCTTAAAAGCTACATGATTTTGTGATATTACGATCTGATATCTTGAAAGAGATATTTTTAGATATTTCTATATAATATATTTCTTTTTTATTGTCAATAGTATTGATTATATTGCATCCTTGATAGACTATTATAGGTAAAGTATTTATTTTATTAAAGTGTCTAATTTTTTAGTATTTTATTTGTCACTGATCCATATTTCTAGGACTTATTATTCTTTGTACTATGTAATATACTATAAATATTAAATATACTCTTGATCGAAAATCTCAATTTGAATCAAAAGGTTTAAAGTTGATATATTGAGTTTGAAACAAATGAAAAAGGCTATTTACTATTGAAAATATAAAAACTATATGGGTTTCTTCTTTTTATTTTTTTTGTTGTGGAGTGTCCTGACCTGTTGCCACTTCAAGATTTTGATTATATATGATCTGAAAAGTTGGTTGATCCAGAAAAATCTACATGTTCTTAATACTATTCTGTATATAGAGTACTAGTTTTGTTTAACATAGTTTTCAATAAGATAGAGGTTATGGTTTTTATGGTTACTTATTGTAATGCTACTAATATTGATATAATGTTTTGAATTTTTTGAGGACAGTCTTGCAAAAGTTATCCTATGACTTAAAAATTTTTAAACAATTAATAAGAATATTATTTTTTTGTTATATAAGTTATTGTAGTTGCTCTCTAAAATACTGCTGACTGATTTTAAGGTGAAATAAATTTGTTGTGGATTGTAAGCATATTTTTATAATTATTTCATTTGTATCTTTATAATACTGTAGAAATTGTTCATGTTGATTATAGTATTTGGTACTGAGAAGGTTAGTCCAACTCTTTGTTTAAAGTTTTTCTTAATTTTTTTGTTTAATTTTAGAAATTCAGCCTATGAAAGAATTAAATCTTGAAGTATATATTCTATTGTAAAGAAAATAACCTAGTTTATTATGTGCTAATGCATTTTATCTATGATTTATTTTTTGGTTAAAATATTATTGGGTGAAATAGTTTTTTATATGATTAGTTTTTGTTGGTATTTTTTGTTTGCTTTTATTTTGTATCTGATATTTAGGACTTTGATGATATTTATAAAATCTGTAAATAAAATGCTATAACCATTTACCTTTATGTTTTCCTAGGATACATTGAGTATTAGTAATTCTGATTTACATGGATTAATATTAATATTATTGAGATTGTAGAAAAATATACTGATATCAATTATTATTTTTTTTTTTTATTTAACCCGCAATCATGTCGCAATGGCATGTCTTTATTAAGATATTGAGAAATACCAAAATATTACAGAACTTTCACATAGTGACTAACTCGTCGTTGTACATTATTAGTTAAAGGACTACACTACTTAAAAAATATGAGAAGTTCACTAAGCTAGTTTGAACTAAACAAAACTAAGTCTAAACTAGGTGCTCTAAGTCAGATTTAGGGAACAATATTTCGCTCTCCTGGTAGCTTGGCATGGTGCCTCTAAGCCTACCAGGGTCATTGCCAACAGTTTGTCACTGTCGATTATCCCGAAAAACGATGAATTGCTAAAGTTGGCACTGGGGAAGGGGAAAAAAGAATGCAAATCAAAGCCCTCCAAAAGGTTCTTGCTTCATTTCACAGTTTCCTCTCGAAAGGGATTTGCCTGATTGGGATATTCTCTAAGCTTCATGACGTTTGAGGAACTTAGCCATTCCTGAAAGTAACTTCAAGAAGAACGTTTGAGGAACTTATCATTTTGCCGATGTACAGATTTGCTTATTGCTAGTGAAGCCAGCGCCATATTACGGAAGAGTTTGCCTGATTGGAATAAAGAAATCTTTTCAAGAACTTTGCTTGACCGGGATAGAAGCTTGGAGACCTCAGCTTTTGTCCAAGAAAGCCTTTTCACCACCTGAGGAACTTAATGAGAGA